CCGTAAGTCTAATACAGTACTGTAATTTTATACATTTCTTGTGAAAGAAACATTTCTTATTCAACGGCGATTAAAATTATTTATATTAATGATGTCTCCGAAGTTCAACGAAGTTTTCGCAGAAAAATAAGTTGTTAGAAATCGGCCGTGGTTTGGTGTGCTGCTTCGTGACGAAAACAAGCTTTAGCAATGGGGTTGTCGAATGGTGCATACTCGGTAAGTAATCCTACAATTTTTTGTTTATAGCGTAGTTTATACGGATTATTTCCAAAAAATATATACGTATTTTGGAAATGTTGAGTTGGATTAGTCTAGAATCGATTAATTTTATGGAAGAAAACCTTTCATCAGCCGTAGTCCGTAAACTTTACTCGTGTCGGGCTGTGATTGGAACGACTCGTAAGAAATCGGATTCCTAAAAAATGGAACGTATCTATGATCTTATAGGGGGGTCGACTGTAAATTATTTTGACTGTGAAAACAGAGTTCCACTTGATTCGGCTCTTCGTTTGATTGTTTAATATGGCAGTTTTACTTTTATTTGGGAATATATTAGAATACATAAACATTAAACCGACATTAATTGAAATTTAATTTTTACAAATGATTTTGTTGTTATGGAATCTAAAACTAGCAGAAGCGTCATCGTACAATAACCGAAATTTTTAGTAAGACTGAAAATCTAATTTATTCTTTCGCAGTACATATATTATTTATAAAAGAAAAAGTTACGCGAATGACTTTGTTATTACTTCTATTTCTAATTTTCTCATTAATTTAATTATTTTTTTATAAATTTGAAAAATGTTACCTAATCTTCCACCAAAATTCCTCTCTGAATAATATGCATGAGCTCCAATAGGTTCATATATGTATCTATAAAAATAAAAAAAATACTTATTAACTTATGCCACTTATAAAAAGTAATTGAATTTAACTAGCATTATTCTACCAACACTTTACGTAGCACAGAAGTTATATTTGGATTATACATATAATTCAAAAATTTCAGATTTTCCACATGTAATATGTTCCAGATGTAATTGTCAGTGATATTTATCTGAAATACATTGTAATATTAAATCAAAATTAAGTATTTTATTTTCTTAACATTTATTTCCGTAGAAAACTTATCCAAATAACTCTGCTGATATAATTAAACGTTTAAAGTTATTTATCTTAACATATTTTTATAACGTAGATACAAGAATTACAATTAGAGAAACTTATTTTTAATTATTGAAATTCATAAAATAAAATATGTATTTTTACCTACATTGTCGAAAATTAAATTTAAAAAATCCTCCTCCAATGATTCTTTTTCATATCCGATGAAAGGTTTAATATTATTTAGCTATAAAAAATAATAAATGATTAATTATTTAAATTGAAAAGTTTACATGATTTACTTTACATCATTTAAACTTTAATTATTGTAAAAATGAATTTTCTATAATAACTTTTTTATATATCATATAATACAAACTGCTAAAACTACTCGAGAAAAATCGTTAAAATAGTAAAATAAATCTATCTGAGAATTAAGCAGATTTATTAATCGTTATTTATAAATAAAATATTTCGATATTTCTTATTCGATACATTAATTCAAATTGCAAGTTCTTAACAAATCATTCTTTTTGCTTAAAATTTCCTATAAGTCTAGGAAATGTTTAACAATAGATTTTCAGTAATATGTTAACATAAAATTTCGATAATACTTATTACATAATGGTTTGTTACGAACCTAATTTTTTCAATTTCAATTTCAATTCAATTCTTTTATTAAACACCCTGTAGGTGCATTCTCAGTACCGTTTAATACATAGCTGAGAGATATATGCACATTATTTATCAAAATATATTTCGCAGATGAAGAAACCGCTTAACATATTGTAAGTAAACAAAAGACGGCGGAGTAGTACATTATTAGTATAAAGTTACATATCGATATCACAGTAGTGAATTAAGATAGAAATACAAGTTTTTGGTGTAACATAGTAGATATATACTTACAATCTGTCATGCAGATTGTTTAACAATATTAATAGAAAGAAAATACATAAAGAAAGGAAAAAAACATAAAGATAAAATAAAGTTAAATTAAGATTAACTAAATCTAAATTAAAACTAAACTTATGACTATCTTAGAACTAAACTTATACTATTTGACAATTTGTTGAGCGTGTTGTATTTACGAACCTAAATTATAGATCTTTACATACAGGTATAAGACAAAATAATAGGAACACTCGTAAAAGAATACAAAATATTTATTAGTAGGGAGTTGGGCCATCATTGGCCTGAATTACAGCTTGTATCCGATGTGGGATTGAGAAATAAACATCGTGCAGAAAGTTTAAGGGAATTCGCAGCCATTCTTCCTGCAGAACGGTCTAGAGTTCAGGTAGTGTGTGTTGAGGAGGAAACCGAGCACGGACTTTGTTCTCTAAAAAACCCCACACAGGCTCAATGATGTTGAGATCGGGAGACTGAGGACACCATGTGAGATGTTCCACTTCATCATTATGCTCATCCAACTATGTTTGAACATAGCGTGCCGTGTGTACAGGGGTGTTGTCGTCTTGGAATAGAGGACGTTCTCCAGGAAACAGAGTATGAAGCATAGGGTGTAAATGATCTGCGAGAATACTGCGATAATGCTCGCCTCTGACCTTCTTCCTCAGGACTATGAGTGGCTTCAAGCCACGCCACAATAAAGCTCCCCACAGCATCACAGAGCCCCCATGCTTCACGGTAGGAACCAGACAGTCAACATGAAATGCCTCTGCTGGTGCCAGACGAACACATGTCCGGTGGTCTGAAATAATGTAAATGATGATTCATCAGACCAGATGACCTGTTCCCATTGCTGATGTGTCCACTTTCGGTGGTCTCGGCACCACTGTCGTCGCTTCATAGCATTCTGCGGTGACACTAATTGCTGTGGGATGGCTACTCGGCCATGAATGTTTGCAGCATGCAGCTCCCGTTGAATAGTTTTGGTGGATACGGGGTTCTGGAGATGGGTGTTCATCTCGGAGGTTATCTGCTGCAGTATAGTTTTACGTTTCCGGGCAACTATCCTCTTCAACGCTCGTTTATCGTGGTCGGTCAACTTTGAATTTCGCCCATTGTTCTGCTTTGCAAAGGACACATTTCCCAGTTTTGTGTAGGCTATCATAACCCTTGACACAGTGGACCTTGAAACACCCATAAGGTTGGCTGTTCTAGACACGGACGCTCCAGCGAGGTGAGCTTCAATAATCGTGCCTCTTTGCACATCGGACAGGTCAGACATAATGGCGCTTTGCTGGGAACAGAATTCTCTTATGCAAATGTCACTTCCCCAAATGCTCGACTTATATCTTCCCTTTCACTGTCACTGGATGGCAGACTATTGTGACATGTGGCAGGGCTGTATTGGACGGTCGAAGTACAACACATTTTGAAAGGGGTGTTCCTATTATTTTGTCCTATACCTGTATGTAATAAATTTTAAAAAGACGTATAATTTAGGGGAGATCGGGGCAACTTCGGCAAGCGGGGCAAGTGTGTCAAGCGCTTTTTTTAAAAAACAAATTAAAAGGAGACTTTGGTTATAGGTTAGGCAGTTAAGTTTTATTAGTGGCTTGTTGAGTGTAGTGTTTTTATTGTTCTCCAACAAGCGTAGTTGAATTATCGAGCAAATTTTCATTTTCGTTGAATTCCATATAATATATTTTTTTTCCATTTATATTGAATTGGCAGGTTTTGTTATAATTCCATGATAACGAAAGTTACTTTTCCTGTTAGAAGGATGTAACTTCAACTTATTCACGTGGCCAGATCGTGGCTTGGCATTCTGTTCTCAGGGTTGTACTTAATGTTTCGAAATCATGACTAGCGGGGTAAGATCGGCAACATAAAGCCACATTAGAAGCAAAGGATAAAAATCAAACAGATGATAAATGAAAACATGTTTGCATTTGTTATTCATGTATATATGTCTTTGAACTTGCATTTCGTTGTAATAATATTAAATGGGTGTTGGATTTGTATTTCTTTGTTTTAATAGTGAATTCCAACTTATACATTGTTAATAACATAATTTTATATACGTGCCTATCTTGCCCCATTACTGTTGCCCCTATACCAGGGGCAACTTTAATAAAAATAATTAAAATAATTACAACTTTACAAAAAGAGAGAAGTTGCCGATCTTGCCCCTATACCCGGGGCAACTTCGTCAATTTCTCTCTTCTTGTAAAGTTGTAATTATTTTAATTATTTTTATTTCCAAACTGATTTTAACCAGTTCTATAGTAAGGTAACATTCCAATAGACAATATGCAAAGCTTTTTTTTTCAGTTTACAGCAGTATTTATTACACAAAATTTAAGTAAAGCTTAACATGCCGATCTTGCCCCCATCTCCCCTATTATTAAATGGAAATGAACAATCTAAGTTGAAAGAAAATGCAGTTATTTAGAAAAATTGTCTATTATTTGGATAATCATTTACTGTAACTAAATCAGTTGATATTAGTAAGAAGAGAAAATAAGATTTAGAATTATTTTTCTCTGAAAAATCATACGAATATGGTTATATTTGGGCACAAAAGTCTCATTTACTAAATTTCTGATACAAAAGTCTATCAGAAGGAAAAAAAATGTAAAATTCTGTCATTGAGAAAAAAAAAATTTATGTATTGTAGAAAAAAATGAATGACGTTTTAAATTCCAGAATTTTCTAATCTCTTTAGTTTAAATCATTAATAAATTTAGAATGTTTATTATATACATTAAAAAAGTTTTCGTAAAATAAATTATAAATGAATAAAATGAAATGTTTACCAATAATTCAATATAGTATAACTTTACGAAATGATGAATGATTACAAAAAATATTTACAGTGTTATCTGAAAAATATTGTAATCTATAATTGAAAAATAAAAGGAATAAATAAACAATAAAATTTCATAGATTAATAGAAATATTGCATTACGTAAACATAAATATAAAATTCAAAAATATCTGTCTAACTATTTAGTAATGTACTTAAATATTGTATGTTATCTATTGCTGTTCTTTAGTTTTCCTCTTTAGAAAATGTTAAAACGGAAACTTTATTGAAAATTGTTGTATCCTTTTTATATGTGTAGTGTAATGTGTAGGCTATATCTACTATTATAGTTATGTACTGAAGAAGGAAAAGGATTAAATGGTCCTTCAAAAAAAATAAAATTTCATAAAATTGTGTCGCTAACTATGGAAATAGAATAATAATACCAATTCCCTCGAAAATGTGAAATACCTTAACTTTGGTAATATTTTTACTGTAGTCATCCATCCAATCATCCTCAGAAAACAATTGTGTCATCTCTTCATAAATACGGTCAGTATATTCACTAACCTAAAAATTATAGCGTTGTTTTTGAAGTAAATTTGAAATAATTAAAATGAAAGTAATCATTTTGATAAATTTTGTTAATTTACCTCTTTAATGTCTTTCTCCGGATTCATCGATTTTATCATCATGTAGCTTAATACCTTCTGGATATACAATTCCATATCTTGAATGCAAGATTTCCATATTAATTTATGAATACCGGAAAGTGGTTGATAAAAACTCTCATAAAACCTCAGGAATCGTTTACTATCAATTAAAAGCTGTCTAAAGAAGTAATCGAAACGGGGCAGATAACGAATAAAGACATTCCACAGCAGCAAATTATAAATAATTCTGCCAACAGAATGTTCATATTATTAAATTAATATGTGGATATATAACAGCGTTTCTCAAACTATGGGTCCCGACCCAACATTGGATCACGTTAAAATTTTAATGGGTCGAGAAATGATATTATCGATATCTTCCGCAGAAATAATTGTATTGCCGAAATATAAGTAGAAGGAATAGATGCATCTGTTAAATACTGAAAGTTTTTAACCTTTTCTTTTTATAATTATTATCTTCATTTAGTAATAAAATTAAGGTTATAGAATGCGAATAGGCCCTATATGAAATTGATATATATTTTCTATTAAGAATGACATCAAAATAGATATATTATGTAAGGTCTCAGTCAGAAAGCCATTTAAATTGTAGTGGTTTTGAAAATATTTTTTTGTTTATTTAAACTTTTAGATATATTGTCATATATGATAATAAATTATAAAAAAGTAAATAAATAACGAATAAATTTTAGTCAAGTGGATTAATAAGTAATTTTTAAAGAATATTTTTGCACATACAAAAGGAAATTGACAAACTCTTACAATCTGAAAAGTATATTTTGAAAAAATCCACCAACGATTGCTTAACTTTCCCGGAAACATTTACAACTGCGTGTATGGCGTCAACTGTTATGATATTTTATTATTAACAACATTTTATATTTTTAATTATTGTAAAATAACAAAAAGCTTGATTTTGAAGGTAAGGATAGGTTTTATAAAAAATTACAAATGCTAATAACGAGTGAAATTGTTATTAAGTACGACCCCTACTCTCGAGATGTAAAAGATGATCTCCCTTTATCTCCCCACTCCCCCGACATTTCACAACCTAAATTTAATCGCATCAATCCTCCCTGAAAAATTTCAGAAATTTTCAACAAAAATGATGGGAGTTATTAAGCCTCAAAGTGGCTGAAGAAAATCGTGTCACACGTACACACTAACGTACATATACATAGAATTTTTTTTTGCATTTCTCGACGTTTCAAGATCCCCCGAGTCCAAAAATGTAAAAAAATTGGGGGTCATTTCTTTAAACAATAGCCATACTTTCCTCTGTTATATATAACAGAATCGTGGAAATAAAAGGATTTATCAAGTTTATAAAAACAATTTGTAATATTTTTTAAAATAAAACAATTCTTGAATAATTTTGAAACAGTAAGATTTATTTACAATCGGCATGTTTTTATTTATTTTTAATAGTTTCAATAATTAAAACTGAAATTGAAGTAAGTTATTTGTTAGAAATCGAAATCGACCCGAACCACTCTTAATAATATAAATGTAATCAATGATACATTTCTTAGGTAGAAGTTATTATTAATGACGCATAATTTTATTTTGTTATATAGGGTTTAATATTCTATACAGTGATTAAGGAATCCAGGTTACCAGGTTTTTAAATATTTTATGTTATATATATATACATTTGGGACGCGGAATCATTACAAACAAATGTATTGGGTCACACGAGCAAAGAGTTTGAGAAACGCTGAAATAAACAACGTTAAAAAAATAAATTGTATAAAATATTATTGTATTTATAAAAAGTAAAACCTTTTGTTTGTAGTGTTTCCAACTAATTCACACAGATCATCCAGGTAGTTTTTACTGGATATCTTTATTAGGAGTTCTTCAGTATAATCTTCAGGATGATAAATATATTCATATACACGTTTCAGTAATTGTTTCCATTTAATCTATTTTTAAACAGAACAATTACGAATATTTAAAATTAAAAATGTAATTTATAGACAGCAAATAAAATAGAGTCTAACGACAGTTTTTTTTAAATAAAGTAAATTACATTTGCTAAATGATCGCGGAAAAATACAGTATTTGAAATAAATTATTTACCTGAGGACATTCGGATTGTAATTCTGAAATTGTAGAATTTATTGAATTAAATTCGAGATTTCGATTTGTTTTCTGGATCTATTCGTTAAAAGTATAATATATTATAAAGTGACATAATATGGAAAATTATATATTTTTAAATTATGATTTACTTCTGTCAAAGATGTTTCAAATGTAATCATTTCCTCGACATATTTAGCGGAATCTTCTGATGATAAACCAAGTTTATCAAATACATAATTTATAAGATTAGAATATTGTTCTTTTAACTTTATAAACTTCTTTTCAGAGATGTTTGATAATACATCTGGTATAACTGTAGTAATTCCAATATCGAGCTAAAAATTTTTCAAAAATTAAAAATATGTACTTGAAGTTAATATTTTTATCTTTAAATGTTTTAATTTATGACTGATTCTAATGGATGCAAATCAGTGAAGAATTTTTAATATTTACATTTTTATGCTAAATATTTTAATATATAAAAGTAATTAAAATAAGAATAACAAAATGTACGGTAATTTTAGGGTCGTTTAAATTTGCAATGAAGCGGAATAATAATCCAGATCCCTTATAAAGGATTGCGGCAGCTGCTGCATCTTCTATTGTCGATTCTGAATTATCATTTGGAGACTGAGGCCAAACATCCAAATTCATTTCGAGCAAGAATGTCTGAACTACTTCTTTAAGTACAGTAGCTACGATTTAAGTAAAAACATTATATATATTATTCCTTCTATTCATGATTTTTAAAATTTTCAAACCTTACGTTTAGTTAAGCACGATTCATAATATTTCTTGACCTTTTTCACAAAACTTGGATCACTTTCTTCATCTGGCTTCTCTAATTGTTCTAAATTAAGATTATTGGTTAAGGTTTAAGTTTTAATACTAACTAAAAGAAATTGAAATAAAATGCACTTCTTTATTTACCTTTGCCTAAATAAATCATATAATTTCGTAAATTATAAAGTACACGTATCTGGTCGTCATAAATATTTTCGTATTTTTGATTAGATCCACAAGCAAATTCATAAAAGTTTTTGCATGGATCAACTGTAAAATCCATATTTGATAGAATGGAACCAGCTGAAATTTTACGATATTAAAAAAATTAAATTAACTTCTATTTTATTGTATAACTCTAGAATTAAGCTTAGTATCAGACCAGAAACATTTACAACTGCGTGTATGGCGTCAACTGTTATGATATTTTATTATTAACAACATTTTATATTTTTAATTATTGTAAAATAACAAAAAGCTTGATTTTGAAGGTAAGGATAGGTTTTATAAAAAATTACAAATGCTAATAACGAGTGAAATTGTTATTAAGTACGACCCCTACTCTCGAGATGTAAAAGATGATCTCCCTTTATCTCCCCACTCCCCCGACATTTAACAACCTAAATTTAATCGCATCAATCCTCCCTGAAAAATTTCAGAAATTTTCAACAAAAATGATGGGAGTTATTAAGCCTCAAAGTGGCTGAAGAAAATCGTGTCACACGTACACACTAACGTACATATACATAGAATTTTTTTTTGCATTTCTCGACGTTTCAAGATCCCCCGAGTCCAAAAATGTAAAAAAATTGGGGGTCATTTCTTTAAACAATAGCCATACTTTCCTCTGTTATATATAACAGAATCGTGGAAATAAAAGGATTTATCAAGTTTATAAAAACAATTTGTAATATTTTTTAAAATAAAACAATTCTTGAATAATTTTGAAACAGTAAGATTTATTTACAATCGGCATGTTTTTATTTATTTTTAATAGTTTCAATAATTAAAACTGAAATTGAAGTAAGTTATTTGTTAGAAATCGAAATCGACCCGAACCACTCTTAATAATATAAATGTAATCAATGATACATTTCTTAGGTAGAAGTTATTATTAATGACGCATAATTTTATTTTGTTATATAGGGTTTAATATTCTATACAGTGATTAAGGAATCCAGGTTACCAGGTTTTTAAATATTTTATGTTATATATATATACATTTGGGACGCGGAATCATTACAAACAAATGTATTGGGTCACACGAGCAAAGAGTTTGAGAAACGCTGAAATAAACAACGTTAAAAAAATAAATTGTATAAAATATTATTGTATTTATAAAAAGTAAAACCTTTTGTTTGTAGTGTTTCCAACTAATTCACACAGATCATCCAGGTAGTTTTTACTGGATATCTTTATTAGGAGTTCTTCAGTATAATCTTCAGGATGATAAATATATTCATATACACGTTTCAGTAATTGTTTCCATTTAATCTATTTTTAAACAGAACAATTACGAATATTTAAAATTAAAAATGTAATTTATAGACAGCAAATAAAATAGAGTCTAACGACAGTTTTTTTTTAAATAAAGTAAATTACATTTGCTAAATGATCGCGGAAAAATACAGTATTTGAAATAAATTATTTACCTGAGGACATTCGGATTGTAATTCTGAAATTGTAGAATTTATTGAATTAAATTCGAGATTTCGATTTGTTTTCTGGATCTATTCGTTAAAAGTATAATATATTATAAAGTGACATAATATGGAAAATTATATATTTTTAAATTATGATTTACTTCTGTCAAAGATGTTTCAAATGTAATCATTTCCTCGACATATTTAGCGGAATCTTCTGATGATAAACCAAGTTTATCAAATACATAATTTATAAGATTAGAATATTGTTCTTTTAACTTTATAAACTTCTTTTCAGAGATGTTTGATAATACATCTGGTATAACTGTAGTAATTCCAATATCGAGCTAAAAATTTTTCAAAAATTAAAAATATGTACTTGAAGTTAATATTTTTATCTTTAAATGTTTTAATTTATGACTGATTCTAATGGATGCAAATCAGTGAAGAATTTTTAATATTTACATTTTTATGCTAAATATTTTAATATATAAAAGTAATTAAAATAAGAATAACAAAATGTACGGTAATTTTAGGGTCGTTTAAATTTGCAATGAAGCGGAATAATAATCCAGATCNTATAGAACGTGCGTGGTTCGAATTACCGTTGAGAAAGTTCAAATTTTTAAAATATTTTACATCAATCCTGAAGAAGGTCTATAAATTAGACCGAAAACGTTAGAGAACTGACAAAAGTAGACTGCATTTTAAAGGTATAGTGAAATGTAGTAATATAGAATGTTTGTTTATTAATAAAATGCACTCTTAAAGATTTTAATTTTTGTTAGTAAAAATAGCCTTAATTAGTAAGGTTAATATCCCTATGGTTCCTAAGTTTTCTCCGGTTCGGGCAAAAATCTCCAATTCTCCCTTTTCTCGATGATTCCGGGTGTAGACACAAACATTTAACCAGGCTATATGGCATCTGCTGCGTAATAACTAGTTACAATGGCAAAGGAGTGTATTGTGTAATGAGCTAATTTGTTGGTTTGGGTACCAGGCGTACCCAACTTTCCCTTTACGCGGAGGCAAATCCAATCTCGAATTCGATAAAAGATAACCGCATAGTTCAAAAGTAATAGACCATCTGAAGATCAATACAAAATATTTTTGTCTGGTTAAAATACTCAAAATCTCTAATTATTTTCCAATGTTGCCTTTTGTTATATTAAATGGATAACGACGAGTACATTCAAATTAAAGAGGAGGAAAAATTAAATAAAATATATTATTGAAATCTTTCATTCGACGAAATTCTCCATAACATTTATCCAAATAAAGCGATATTAGAATTTAACTTGATCATATCAACGAAATAAAGTGCTAAATCGTGCCGAAAATATTTGTACATACTTTGAACATATCTGTACATACTTTTATCATAAAAATAAAATAATTAAAATTTAATGTAATCTCATAAATACTTAAAGATAATTCTGTATCTTACTTACTTTGTAAATGCAGTAACAGTCCAATCATGGCAAAAAACGCAATCAACAAGATCAGAAAAGCCAATAAGAGAAGCCGTTCTAAACAAGTTCTCCTCCTCCATATCATGCACTTACTATTAGAAGTATACAAAATAATTATTTTTTAAATCAGTTTTATAAACTACTGCAATATTTTGTAAATGTATTGATAAGAAATGATTTCAAATTTGTTTTTCAAGATAAACTTTTAACAAACGCTTTGATCTTCTTGTAGTTAAAATTTACAATTTTCAGTACAAGATTAACATAAAATCGTATAAAACAAAAAATTATATCTTTTATAAGAAAAATAAGAATATAAGAGTGAGAAATTAAAAATTAATTATAGGCCTAATCATTACTAACTTTTATTAGTTATTACAATATATAATGAAAGCTACCCATTTAATTCTATGAATTCGAAAATAAAAATAAAAAATATGTATAATGCAAAATTTTATGACGAACAATACTATAAAAATTGTAATAATGAATAAGACTAGTGATAAACAGATAGATACAATGAACGGTAGATAAAACTTTAGAAACTTGCGATATATTTCAAGAATACATAAATTACGGCTATATATTCTAGATTTTCGCTATTATCAAATACATATATCTATTTTCTATGAATAATTTAGATAGTTCGTGTAAAAAATTAATCAAGCGTTGAAGAATATGGCTATGGCGATTTAGGCGTTTTAACTTACCATTTATTCATTACGATATAAATACTGCAAACATTAAAAATGTTTGTAAATCCGTTAATTAAATTAATATGGACCGTTATTCTAGGCCATGAGGAATCTAGATTTCCAGTTCTGTCCACGGGCAATTAGAATCGGGATATTAATTGTTGTTTGATTGATTAATCAAACAAATAATTTTAAAAATCAACGTAAACAAAAGAAATTTCGGAATGAAAATAATTTTAAAATATGAAACAATTCAACTCAATATCTAAGAATATTTTCATTTAAGTATCAGTATTTTTTATTACTACTTACATAATTAATTGTATATTAATTATTTATATTTATATTTTATTAGTTTATCAGCGTTCTCTTATGTTATGAATACACATTATGCACTTACGTTTATGCACACATTATGCACATTATACACATATGAAAAATTAGTCGTAGACACTATTACAGTATATGAATCTCTGTAACGTTAAATAAGGATAATAATTAATATCATAATTAATAAATCAGAATAAAACAACAGAAAGGCAATTAATTCTTACCTAATAAATATTTAGATTATTTAAATTGTGAAACAATCTTTCAGTAATAAATACAGTTTAATTATTTCAGTTATATTACTTAAAGCTGTTAGAGAATTAAAAAGGTTAAAGTTAATGTTGTAGTGTTAATAGAGGTTACTGAGAAGGTTCTAACGTGCTACTTTCTTTAAAAAACTTTCTTTTTTATAGTTACGTAATTTTATTTTAATTAAGCACAAAACGAAATAAATTGAGAGTAAAGGTGTAATGTTTAACTGAACATTTCTACGTATTTATAGTCACTTAATTAGCAATTTATTATACAAACGTTNTTTACTCATTCTGTTCTTTTGGCACTAGGAGGGACATTTCATCAGACTTATCATAAATTCTGCCAGGTCTACAATGGGACAGACGAAAGGGCCCCACGCAAAATATTCTTGATGACTTGTCTAACATATCCAGGATGACATAGCACTTCGGGTTTTTCGACTCAGCTGGATACGTTTTTGGGTCTCCCATAGCGGTAGGTTGATAGCTTAACCACTCAGCAATCCGACCATCTATATTAATTAATATGTTAATTTACTGCAGTTTGGTAAGGAACATGACATTTAAGAGAATTTATGCTTCGAGTATTTTTAATATATTTTTACTAATAATTATCTAGAATATAGTACAGGCTATATATTAATTATAAAAGCAACTATTCCTACTTAAAATTAAATTTTATGCAAATTATTCCTCACTTTAAAATTGGAAGAATTAAAAATAGCCTAGGAAAGAGACATGAAAGCCTACGCATCTTCTAATTTATAATTGTTAATTAACATAAATTTACATTATAAAAATCCATTCTTACCTCGATATTTGCAAATGTGATTAGAACAAATTTCTTTCCTCGATACATTACTTGTGTCTGTAAAAATTTTTAAGTAAAATATCTATTATAAATAAGATTCTTAAAATATAATCAAAGTATTAAAAATTAAAATTAAAAAATATAATTCTAATTACAACAGAAATAAGTAACGTATGAAAACTATTTAAAATTTTAGTATTAATATACAATGATGTTTTCATATTTTTTCATTTATAATTCATTAAACAATATTGTATTCAATATATGGAATTTTCAATCATATCACTTTTATTTAAAGTAAGAGTCTACAATTTAAGCATATAAAATGCTTTAAAATATATGAAAGCAAGTCTTAGATAAACAAGCTGTAAAATACAAGATAATGATGGAAGATTATGAAATTGTCATTTGAGGCAAAATTGTACAAAATAACAAAAATGAATTACAGAAAATTACAAACAATTCATCGCATATATTTTGCTTTATTTTGTATTATTTCGACTTTTGAAAGTCTTATTCGAATAAATTTTCATAATAAAAATTTGTGTTCATATGTTTAAACAACAGCGATTTTAACAAGTAGCCTACTGTCATGGATGCAGATGGATTAAATAAAAGCATTTCATTAGATCACTTTTAATGTGAAAATTTTAAAAGTATAAATTAGATGATACTTTCACTTTGAAAGTCCCTCCCATCTACAAGTCGCTCCGCTGCTGGTCGAAATACATCAGCTATTCAATTAATAAGTCTAATTTGCATGAAATGTTTTATTTATTTAGTTTGGACTTATCCAATTAAAAATATAATTGAATTTAAATATAAGTGACAAAAATTAAAGCAGTTTTTTTTTGTCGTGGCGTGCAGTTTGGTTAAAACGTTCTCAGAGTGGGAGGAAAATTTTTATTGATAGTGTACAGTACTTAAATTAAAGTTATGGTTTTCGAGATTGGTATTGGGGGATGGTGGAGTAGCTCCCACCCATCACATAAATCATTATAGTATATTTACACAGACATGTCATTATTAAATTCTACATTTGATTACGTTTATTAGGTTTTGGGGGTGGGAAGGATGTGGGAATATCATGCCTCTTTTAAATATTATTAAAATACATTGTCATCGCACTTAAGTATGCCATTAATGTCCCAGCCTTCTATCTCAGTTAGATGGATATTGAATGAAATTTGAGTTGCAACATTTAAGAATATGATACAAAGTAAGTTAAATAGATTTGTTTAATAGTTAATAATAATAACAACAAACGTAATTTTGCGTCCAAAATTAAAAGTTTTCTGCTTGAATAAAAGAAAATCGTATTCTTTCAAATCTCAATTTACTTTCTTAAAAATTAAACAAAAGCACAGACTGCATTTTATAACAGTATTGCTCCAAAACTGATTAACCAAGGCTACCTTGGTTAATCAGTAAATTGTGTTCATATGTTTAAACAGCAGCGATTTTCACAAGTAGCCTACTGTCATGGATGCAGACGGATTAAATAAAAACAGTTCATTAGATCACTTTTAATGTGAAAATTTTGAAAGTATAAATTAGATGATACTTTTACTTTGAAAGCAGAATGTCCTTCCATCCACAAGTCACTCCACTGCGACATACATCAGCTATTCAATTAATAAGTCTAATTTACATGAATAAAAACTGAAAACTTCATTTTTTGGCAACAAGTGACTATCCATTCCAATAAGTTTACTTTTTGTTTGTCGTCTTTAATTTTATAGCTTATAGGTAAATTTGTCGTATAATGTTACAACTATTCTACAATATTTTCTGAGTTATCACTAAATATAACTCTGTGAGAATTTATACTACAGTAGAGCCTCGATTATCCGACCCCGATTAATCGACACCTCGGTTAACCGACCGTCCTAGTTGGCAAATTTCAATGTCCGCTAGTGATATGGCGCTAAATATTTGGCTATGTCTTGGCTACTTTAATAGTATTTTTACGTGTTTTAGCTGGCAACATGGCTTGACCATGAAAGGGAGCCAGTATTTAAACGAGGCTTAATTTTCTAATTTTTAACGATACAATAGCGACGATTATTATTTTTAAAAATTTTTGTTAGGCTTAATAATATACTACACTAATAATGATATAATAATATACTACATTAATAATGGATTTTTTCATACTTTTCGGTTATCCGACTTTTCAATTATCCGACCAACCCCAGTTCCCAATTGCGTCGGATAATCGAGGCTCTACTGTATATACTCTTATCTAGTCATAACAAATTTTTTCCCTATTATAACATCTTAGAATTTCTTTGGACGAAGCAGGATACTTATATTAGTATAAAAATAATACGAACTAGGATTACGATAATTTTAAATGGAATATTCCGACAATTTAATAACGTAAGATAATGAATAGTGAATTGGATTATGTGGTTTTAGAACTAAAACAGACTATTTATTTCATACAGTTGTAGAAAGAGCCGTAGAGCACTTATATGGGGTCCGAGAATAGAATGAGCTCTTTTTGTCTTTTTTTGAACACATAGTAATTGTTTTATGAATATATAGAATGTTTTAATTACTAAATCTCTAACTGCATTAATTAATTACTACATTTCACTATACCTTTAAAATGCAGTCTACTTTTGTCAGTTCTCTAACGTTTTCGGTCTAATTTATAGACCTTCTTCAGGATTGCTACATTTCACTATACCTTTAAAATGCAGTCTACTTTTGTCAGTTCTCTAACGTTTTCGGTCTAATTTATAGACCTTCTTCAGGATTGATGTAAAATATTTTAAAAATTTGAACTTTCTCAACGGTAATTCGAACCACGCACGTTCTATAATCTTCAGATATTCGATCGCGCATGTCCATTAGCTCTTTATAATGCCGCCGCTCTCCATGCCGTTGCTATTCTACTTGACTCTCGAAAATTTATATTAAGCCCCTTTTCTCTGTATTTATAAATGTGCCATGCCTCTGCATACTTTAGATGTCGTATATTATCGATCTTTTGTACAATATCCGCCTTGCTCCATTCGATTGTAATCTCTGCAGGATCCGCGATAGCATAATTGGCCAAAGCCGTGATCGGTTGTTTAGATCTTATATTTTTTTCGTGCTCCTTCAATCTTTCTCTTAATGATCTCTTTGTGGCTCCTATATAATATAACTCTTTCTTTAGCCTTTTATCATGCAACGGTATTCTGTACACACCTGGAACTAGCCTCCTGTCTATTGGTGTTTTGTCATTTCTTAGCATTTGGAATATTGTCGTGTTTCTCTTATATGCTATTTTCTTTTTGCTCTCTACTCCTATTTTTCTGTATATGCCACTTAACGGTGCTCTGTATTCCATTACGGTGAACTCCTTTTTTTCTTTCTTATCTTTAGTCTTATTGCATCCTTTTTCCGCTTCTTGTATTAAGGCTTTTACTTTACTTTGCTTAAGTCCTACATCTCTTGCTAATTTTGCAATGTAATCAAGTTCTTTACGTGTGTCATACATCCTGCTACAATGAGTGTATGCTCGTTTAATAAGTGCTCTAAACGCTGCTAGTTTGTAGTTTGTTGGGTCATGCGAGGACCATGGTATCAAATCCGGAACGTACGTCGGTTTTCTATACACTTTTGTAACAATTTGCTCTTTATCATC